TTTTCTATACAGTGAGGACATTAGTCTATATGCTATCAAAAATTCTTCTTGCAGAATTAAAATAATCCAAGAATATAATCCTTTAAATATCCACCTGATGATACGAGATTAAGAAGGTAGCTAATAAGACATAAGACTTTGGCATTCTAAGTGATTAGACTTAATTTATTTTTGCATAGCACTTTCCCTACCAGGAATTTGTTTTGTTCATTTGTTGTTAAGCGCCAAACTACACAATAGGCTATATATCCTCTGCCGACCACGGGTATCGAAACCTGATTTTTAACGCATAAAGCCCTCAAACTTTTAGCTGAGCCATCGAGGGTGTGTGTGTGTGTGTGTGTGATTAATATGGGATGTTGGAGATTAAAAATAATATGTACAGATGTCGTTTTACTTTGATATAAAATTTTATTGTAAATAAAACAAATAAAGTATCAAGCGAAATCGGAAAGAACTGAACGATTCACTTTTGAAGTAAATGCATTTATTACACTCAGTTATGAGAAAAACCCCTTTTTTAAATTCAATTTAAAATTCTGTCTTAACATACAGATTTAAGCAAAAAATGTTTGCATATTATTGAGTAAAAATACTTTATTGATCTCAGATGATGAAGTAATACTACGTACTATGGAATGTCAATAATGGTAGCCTTTAACGTTTAAAGCCTCGCAGTGACACAGCAATAAATTTGAAGTCTTATAACGCTAAAAACCGAGTTTCGATACCCGTGGTGGCCAGAGAACAGATAGCTTACTGTGTAACCTTGTGCTTAACTACAAACAAATAATATTTAAAATGGGAAAGCTGCTCTGAAAGAGAGAAATGACGTTTTTTGCTTTTTTTCTAGAATGGTTTTGTCACTTAATCCAAATCACAATAAATCATTTATTTGATGACCTTTAATTTGCTCAACTGGTTACCAAACACACAAATTTAAGTACGAGAGTTAAGTTTTTCTGCCAGAATTCAAATACGCACCTACAATTTTAGCAACCTTGAAATTTAATCGTCTGTAGGAGTTAAGAATTTCAGTTGTAAAGCATGCAGAAAAAAGTTCTTCCCAACACTGAAACTTAGGTTTCGTTAGAGTTTCAAGTTACATTTTTTTAGAAGATAAAAATTGCCTACTACAAAATTTTTACAAGGTACTAAAGTCGTCTTTTAAAGGTTTTGTGTGAATTTAAACATTTTTAAAAAAATACAAACATTGATTTGTTAATTGAAATTTAAATAAAACTGGATCGTAAAGATTATTTTTTCTTAAGAAACTACAGTAGTTATCAAACCCTTTATTCAGATAGACAGGAAAAAGAATAGTTAAGTATATTTAGTCTCTTCTTTTCACATTAATATAAACAAAATTGTGTGCATTGGTCCTCATTGGAAAGCCCTTTGTTGGAGGAGCAATGATGAGGTTAATAACATAAGAAAGTGTTTGGGTTAGAGTGTTGATGTTAAAATAAAAGCTTAAGCTGCAGTAGGATCGATATTTTAGTGCTGTATGGATTTCTTTACTCTCTGTTTTTGTGTTTTAAAACATCGTGTGCTCAGTTTGGACTTTTGATTTTGTTATTCGTTGTCTGGAGTCCAATAATGGTTCATTATTGTTTCGTTATGTCAGGTAAATCATTGTATATTTTTAATTTTTAACATTACAAATAAATGTTTGTGTAAGTAAAAAAACGTTGATTTTCGTTTTATTATTTTATTTAACAGGTAAATCATGTTGACCACCCAGGGGATAAGGGAAAATATCAGCTTCATCAAAAGGCTCCAGGAAGATCGTTTGGAAGCTCTCAACAATACAATCTTACACCACATGGTTCAAATGCACATATGTTTAGCGACAGCATTGTCTGTTCCCAGAGTCAAACTGTTACATCCCAGTCTTCATTCGAGTCAGAAGAGCCAAAAGTTGCGCGTGAGAAAGCTGTTGAACAGAGAAGGTTTGTATTAAAATTACACATTTGTCTAGTGTTGTTCATTCACCTAGCTTGTAGGAAAAATATAACAGCAACAAAATTAAGTACGTTTAAATACGTTAAACGAAGGCTTGCTGAAAGGGCCAGTCAATTTGTGCTTTTATATGAATGTGCTTAAGCATTCTGCTTTATTTCAAATTTTTGAATGTAACTTTAGTATCATTAGTGCAAGAAAATTACATTTGAATAAGTCTGCAAACTTTTGAAAAATAGCTGCAATTGTAAATTTAGGTTAAGAATGTTATTAATTTCAAATATCAGTTTAGATTTCGCTGAATTCGCACTGTTAAGAAAGCAAGGGAACAGTGTTTTAGGTAAAGATGAAACTATAAATCATTTGAAGTAGATGTGGCTAATATTTTATGATTATAGTTTGAATATATTAAAATAATAATACTGACAGCACACCCACAGAACACTGTCATAAATTTCAAAAACTGATATTTCCACACGCACCACACTTTTCTGTTTTTGGAAAAGACATTCAACGTATCTTCAATATACTGAATTTCCTGTTCGACGAAGTCGTTTCGTTTTAGGCCTAAACATACTATGTTATTATTCCCAGATTTACCCCCATTTCTACAGATAAGAATAGTACCCGCTGTAAATAGAGGTTCGACAGAAAATGTATCGCGGGGTTAAACAAGATTCTGATAACAATTAATTTAGGAAACACAATGCATACATGTTTCACAGTGTAACAAAAGCAATTTATTTATTGCACACTAAAGACATTCAATTCGGGTCAGTGGACATGTGCACGAAACGACAGACGATCTCATGGGGGGAATCAACGACCATATACATATCGAATAGCGTAAATTCTCCCAGGGTGCATTTGTCAAACAAATCACTTACTTATTGTAAAAAAAAAAGTATTCAGGTATTTCTAAACATCTACACGACTGATGCTTCTAGACAATGCGTTATCATAACTTTAAGGAATTCTCCAGCGCCACCTTCCCTGGAAATTTATAGAAATATCAAGTAGGGAATGACTACTGACAGTGTGTCAACAATAAGATGATATCTATATACAACATTCCAAAGCCGATATTTGCACAATATACATTCAACACATGTGCCAAACGCGTGTAAGTGAACAAAAAAACTGAAAATGTTGGTAAACAATAAACGCTAACCTTTCTAAACTAAAAGGAAGAGAAACACTTGTACAATACTATACTTTTTTAAAATAATACATTGACACATACATATTGTAATTGAAGAATAACTCACAAGCTGGTGGTCGAATTGCCTTTTCATTTATTATAGAGTAGTAACGGAGCGGAACTTTCATGTTTTAGTTGTGGGTTCTAATTGAACATTTCTAGTTTGGGAGGATTGTAGAAACTTGCATAACAATAGAATCTGCCATTTGCCATAAAGAAACAATGGAAGTTTATTCTATAAATTTGTTACTCTCAGCCAATAATAATTTCATTGATCTAAGTTATTAGTTATATAGATAAAGACTTGCAGATCGTTATATGACACTAAGTAAAAACAATATGTGTACGCTACGAGAATATTGCTAAAAATATAACTAGTTCAATAATACATTATTGGATTTGAAAAAGGGTTAATGTCCTTATAATGTATAATTACACGGATATTCCCTTATAATAGGATTAGCCAATCATTCTAACATTCAGTAACCATAGTACCTTACTTTGAAACTAAATGTAGTGTGAAACATACATTAAGTGTAAACTGTATTACAGAATTGGAGTGAAGATAAAATAAATAATGGAGTTCTCATGAAATCCCATTAAAATAATAATAATGATTAAGATGTGAGTATGAAACTATAATAGGATTAGCCAATCATTCTAACATTCAGTAACCACAGTACCTTACTTTGAAACTAAATGTAGTGTGAAACATACATTAAGTGTAAACTGTATTACAGAATTGGAGTGAAGATAAAATAAATAATGGAGTGCTCATGAAATCCCATTAAAATAATAATAATGATTAAGATGGGAGTATGAAACTATGGACCTCTCACAAATTGTGGTCTCTCAGATTGTGGTATGGATTAAATACCAATGTTATCAGTGAAGTATGATTAATAGTCTATCATGAAACACAATCACCTCTCAACCTAACCTCTTTACGTTTAACACTTGAAGGAGTTCTATAAAACCTGAATTTCGACATTTCAACTAAATTTGAGGATTAAGTAGGAAAACTAATTCTTATAAAGCTCGTTTGTCAACATATGAACCATAATACTCGGGACAGTCAATAAGATATTTTTATTTAATGTATATATATATATATACACACACACACACACTCGGTATAAAAAATAAATAACATATTTCTTGTCAGTCAGGCTATAGATTATTGTTCAATATTACACGGAAAGTTAAAAACGAGTTAGGCTTAACTTCTGCAGTACAAGGATGATGAAGAATTTTTCTCTTTACCTGTAGTTTTGTGATTCAAGAACTGGTGAACACAGAGAAGGATTACGTCAAAGATCTTGGTCATATAGTTGAGGTTTGTAACTTCGTGGTTTATTACATATTTTTATCTTATTAATACAAGTGTTTCAAAATATTAGTGTTTCCAATTCTTGAATTTTATGCCAACGTTTGAAAAGATCAGTTTCAGTTTTTGAATTTATTAATTATCCATATTAGAGTTGATTTTCTGACTGAAACAGTCGAGTATGAACATTTTTGATCCTGTGTTGTTTTTACGTACGACCTGGCGTTTGTTATTAGTTTGTTGTAATTGATAAGGCTTACTTGATTGAGGAAGCACATTATGGTAATGTAATAATAGGTAGGCAAACAATGATTTGTAAGCATGAGGAAGAGTTTTAATGATGTTGGAACATACTACATGTTTCAACAGATCATTGGTCTGTCTTTTTCAGATATGATCAGCACTAAACAATACAAGGTTTATATATCGTTACAAAGACAAAAGACACAAGTTTTAAATGAGACAGAAATGGTGTCAAGTCTGTCAGTAAAGGTCAAGTCTGGTCAGCTGTATGAACGATGAATATATCTTACTAAATACGGCTGATATTGCTGGAGCCATTTTCACGGCTTAGTAAGAGATTGTTCGTTTTGATGATTTCTATAGTTTCTGGACAGTCTCTTTCTTCTTTAGTTTTGGGTTGGTGTAGGAGAAGAATTTCATCCCAAAGTATTTTGTGACCTGTTTCATACTGATCGTATGTTAAGGCGGATATCTGGAATTCACCTCTACGTATGTGACCTTTGTGTTCTTTGCGTGTTATTTCTAAGGAACGTGACGTTTGTCCTATGTTTGACCTAATGGTTAACGTGCCAGGCTGCAGATGGAAGGGTGTAAAATCCGCGCCGTGATATCGCTGAACAAATTCCACATTTGCAGCCATTGTTGCGTTATAAAAGTTGACAACCAATTACGTTAATCGACTCAAAACAAGAAAAAGCCTTTTGTGACAGTAGGTGCTGCTGGTTGGCTGTTTTCCTTCTTGTCAGTAGTTAAAAATTAGGGAAAGATATATATAAACCTTAAAGGGTTGTTGACCTTACTGTTAAGACAATGTGTCCAAAAGGTGCTGTTCATAATGGAAAAAAGCACCCAGAATACCAATATCAGTGCAAACTAACGACAGAAACCGTCGTTAATAGCGAGGGAATCCATTGTAATTCGTGTTATTGATATCTCAAATCCACTTTAATCATATTTCATCCTAATTATCATCAGGTTTTCTATCGATTAGTTTTACCCATCACTGTTGTAACTAACTTAAATTTATTAGTTGCAAATAATAAATTTCCTTCCCCTAAAGTATGTTTTTTTTTTCTTTATTTCAGTTTTAAACGGAATATTTTGGTTTGCTTGCGTTCAGGTGCCTCCCCAGCCCCAATTAAATAATAGTCATAAGTGATTTATAAATGATACTAAAATTATGACACGTTCTGATTCATGAAGAGCTTGCCTATTCATTTTCAAAAGTTTCCAAGCTGAACTTCGGCCGTTAGGCTTCTCACGTTTTTAGCGGTACAAAGTCCTAGACTTCTAGCTTGGCGATTACAGTCTAAAGTTCCATAGGCTTGTACTCTGTACCAACCTAAAACTACAATTGTTTCTCCGAGACGTTTAAAATATTTTATTAGTCAGACTTATCTAATGACATGGTCGGGCACAACTCTTTGGAAATCTAGGGTCCCAGGCGTGTTTACAAATACATAACAGCACATTTTGGCAACTAGCTAAGCCTTAGAATAGGAGGTTCTTATCGTTACAATTCTCTATATGTTCTCAAACCTATTATTTGGCCCGTTAATGACTGTGTAGAGAACGCGCTGTGATTGGAGAAAATCCGTAAGGTCTGTTATTACATTTTATACATTCTTTCATGGTGTCTATTTCACTAACGGCTCCTGAACGTCGTGTGCGATTTTAACCAAGTTATTACTATTGCAGCGGTAATAACCTTGAGTTTTCGCCCAATTCTTGCATGGCTAGGTCAGATTTTTATCCTTTGTACGTATTATTGTAAGCATTTTAGAGATTCGTACATTCAGACAGGTTGTTACTACATCGGCAATTGACAAAAACTGATTATACTAGTTACCGAATGAACAACGCAGTACCACACCTTAATGAATAGTGAGGGTCTGAAATGCATACCACATTTTTGAGAATTCCATATTTACCACTTCCCTAAAGGAGGACTAACGGCATACTTGTTTTCCTAGTACGCTTTACCCTTCGTAACTGATATCAAAAATAGGCGTTATCCCAATATCCCAAGACTCTGTTAATCTTGTAATCCTTGCGATAGATGTCAATGTTCTTATTGCACATACTTTTGAATAGTATAGAAGGAGTTTGCAGAAGCAACATACAAACAGGCTTGTCGGTTTGGAAGCCCTTGGGTCAAGTGACACTTTCATGATTCATCTTGAAAATGTTTTCAAAATACCGAGTAAAAGCTATACACGGATATTTTATTGTCAATATAAAGTACATGTGTTTGCACAGTACAACGCCAAACTTTTCCCCAACCTACTTTCCAGCAAATAACAATGACGACTCGTCACATACTTTTGATTGTCATGATCCAATTATGTACCAGCTAACGAAACTAGTTATCACTGCAGAGATAATAGGACGGCAAATAACAATGACGACTCGTCACATACTTCTGATGATCATGATCCAATTATATACCAGCTAACGAAACTAGTTACCACTGCAGAGATAATAGAACAGCAAATAAGATAAGAAACAAAGCTCCTGCTCATCATCCTCACAAAAGAAAAGAAAACAAAACACGGCACTCGGAGATTATATAAAATATAATTAATATATTATACAAATATATTATTATTAAAATATAATTAATATATTATATTAAACAGTTCTATTCAGTCTCTCTTTAAAATCAAGCTGTAAACTTTGTTGTTGGAAGCAAGCCATCTATGTTCCAAAAAGAAGACAACCCAGTGGATAAACCAATTTTACCATGTTCCATAAAGAAGACAAGCCAGCGGATAAACCAATTTTACTATGTTCCATAAAGAAGACAACCCAGTGGATAAACCAATTTTAACATGTTCCATAAAGAAGACAAGCCAGTGGATAAACCAAATTTACCATGTTCCATAAAGAAGACAAACCAGTGGATAAACGAATTTTATCATGTTCCATAAAGAAGTCAGTGGATAAACCTATTGGTTTCAGGTAATCTTGGCAAACTACTGATAACTTGAATAGACTAGCAAAATCTACAATTGAAAGTTTTAAACACAAAAACTGTTTTGTAGGCTGTTTCCTTGATGTTCAAAAAGCCTTTGACAGCACGTGGCATTATGGTCTTTACTTTCAAACGTCTTAACTGGAACTACGGTGCGACATTGACCGTTGGTTATCCAACTTCCTGGACGAATAGAAAAGATGATATGAAAAGCACCTACTCTGAATACTTTACTTCTGAGGTAGGTGGCTCACGGGGAGGGATTGTTAGCCCCATGTTTTTTATCATGCATGAAAGCATCATGTCACTTCTATTTTTTTTTCTTTTTTAAATAGGGATATATAGCACTGATGAAGACTGGCGAGGTGCCAATGCCTGAAGACCTGAAAAACGGTAGAGACAAAATAGTATTTGGAAATATTGAGGCGATTTATGAATGGCATAGAGAGTAAGTATTTCAAAATGGATGAAGAAAAAGAACTAAATAATATTAAAGCTATCGGAGGCTATTTTAGAATAATACAAAAATATTATTTTATAGAAGGTGGTCGTGAAACATTTAAATCATTCCCTAAAGTAATGGACAAAATCTGATACAGAGGAGGTTAACTCACTACCTCGCATAGTCTTGTAAAATTTACGTTTTACACTCGAATACACAGAGGGTTGAGTACTTTATATTAAGCCCCCTAAGTGGCACAGCGGTGTGTCTGCAGACTTACAACGCTAGAAACCGGGTAGATGGGCAGAGCACACACAGCCCATCGTGTATCTTTGTGTTTAACTACAAACAAATCATTTTATATTTAAACGATTTTGTAGTCTCGCTACGTCATTCTAATTCATGTCGCCACTATGTCATGCTCTATTTGGCGCATCTTGTTAACAGGCCTGCAGCATATCTTCCACTGCAAAAGGATCCGTCCTAAGGCTGTTATGTTCAAAATACAACAATCCTCCCTTTGTTGTTTCCATGGTCCATCTAGATTACGAGTACAGCTGTTCTCAGTGTCCGTTTCAACAGTTTGATCACATAGAAATTCTTATGCACTGCGTCTGTCGACTTCATCGGTAAGAAATATCGTGATTACCTGTTTCATTCTTTAGCTGCTTGAGCTATATGACAATTGACCGGTAAGTATGGCTGGAGGTCTTGTCTTGGTGATGGCACTGTATTGATGGCTGAAACAGAACAAGACTTTCAAGATATTTTGAATGATGTATGTAACACAGGAAAGAGGTATGAAATCAAAATGAATGCTAATAAGACAAAGAGAATGCTGATAAGAAGACATAATAATAAGCCAGAAATTCAGATACAATTAGAAGAAAAAGACATACAACAATTATAGAAATTCACATATTTAGGCCAGACCATAACAGGTGATGGAAAATATGAAGCTGAAATAGTGAAGAGGATTGAGGTGGCAAGAAGTGCCTGTAATAGTATGAAAACAAGTCTGACATCAAAGAAAATAAGAGTAAAAACAAGGAAGAGAATAATAAAGTGATATATAATGGCTGGAGACGGCTTAAATGGGTAATGAAGAAAAACTTTAATATAAGTTTAACATGACAGCAAATGTACAACGTTTCGACAAGGTTTTGTCATCATCAGTGATATATATTCGATGACGAGGAACCCACTTTGAGATTAATAATGGCTGGAGACGGCTTAAATGGGTAATGAAGAAAAACTTTAATATAAGTTTAATATGACAGCAAATGTACAACGTTTCGACAAGGTTTGTCATCATATGTTCAACTCTGTTATATGGCTGTGAAACATGGACCTTAACACAAGCATTGATTAACAAACTGGAAACATTTGAGATGTGGGTGTACAGGAAGATGATCCTGGATAGACAAGGTAACAACAGAAGAAGTTCTTAGTATTGTGAATGTGAAAAGATATGTTGTACCAACCATCAAAAAGAGAAAAGAAGTGTATTTTGGCCAGATGATGAGACGAGACAACATCCAGCGAGTCCTACTATAGGGCCAAATAAAAGGGAAAAGATACAGGGGAAGACCAAGAAAAGTAGTGTATTTTGGCCAGATGATGAGACGGGAAAACATCCAGCGAGTCCTACTATAGGGCCAAATAGAAGGGAAAAGATACAGGGGAAGACCAAGAACAGAGTGGATAACAAATATTAAAGAGTGGACTGAGATAGCAAAATATGAAGACCTAGTGAGAAAAGCACAAAACAGACAGAAGTGGATTGTGACAGCCAACCTTCCTGAGGAAGACGGCACATGATGATGATGATGACTGTTACTTAGAGCACATGGATGAATTTTGCCATCGACCTTTGTGGTCGTGGATTCTTACACGTTACAGGATAGCTTATCACGGGTAGAATAAAACTTGTTGTATGTGTATTTCTAGGTGGCCCTTGTTCCCCAAGTTGATACATTTTCTTTCTTTTTCAATGCTGTTGTGTAAAAGAGATATCCCCGTCTGAGAAACCCTAAATATCAGATCTGAGTATATGGATATTTTGCGTCGGAAATGGCTCTTTTATACCCTTTCTTAAAAGCAATTCAGTTTTCGGTAGCATCACACAACCTACGAAACACCAAACAATGTCAGAATTTAGTCCTGATACATCCATTCCATTGCTACTTTATATCGTCTGTGGTTGTCACATGACTTTGTGGTTTTGATATTCAAAAATGTTTTAATATGATTTACTCAACCCTGTATATGGATGAGAACAATTAATAATAAAAAATGAAACATTATTTTTAAAGTTAATTTCCTAAAATCACTCACTCTTTCGAAGAGCACCTTTAGCACTAAATTACAAACATTTTGTATTTGTAGCGAATATGTGTTTTATATTTTAACAGAGAAGTATAATTTCCTATGATAGCAGAAACCATCAATATTCCATGCATCAATTAATTTCTTATTATGTTACGGTAATAAATAAAATTATATGTCCAATCGTGGTCGGTTTTCAAACAGTTAATAATAATATACGTCTTATTATAGTTCTTTCCTTGGAGAGTTGGAGAAGTGTGTAAACGAACCTTGGAGACTTGGTATCCTGTTTCGACGCTACGAAAGGCGCTTAAATATGTATGTTGTGTATTGTCAGAACAAGCCCAAGTCAGAATACATTGTATCTGATTATGCAGACACTTATTTTGAGGTAGGAAATGTATTTATCTTACTTCAAATGTTTGCTACACTTCATTACGTTCAGTATTTGAGTCAGTAATAAACAAAATATCACAAATGTCATTAGTTTAGTTTGTTGATGGTGAAAAATATTCCAAACGACAGTAGTTTAATAACTGTTCATCTCTATTGGCCCTTCCCTTGATAGGTTTTGGGTCTTAAAGACCTTGGAGGGTCAGGTGTGTTCGATCTCTTCCTTCTGTCTCCATTGGTTTTAAATTTAATAATGTGTTTCAAAAATACTTGATATTCACTGTTTTGATGAGATTCCAGCATTATTTTATCTTTGCTGAGAAAATATCGCATTTAAAAAATAGCTTGGATTCACAAGTTAAATCTGTTATTTATAATAGCTTTTAATATCAAGATGAAAGACGACAATTATATATATGTTTACAGAATCACACTTCCATATACAAGTATTGCTTTTAAACATATTTCTTTATTCTCATGTATGTACAAACATAATATTTTTTCATATAAATCAAGACTTATAACAACAACAACAAATTGATCAACATTTAAAGGAATTCTCCCAGAGACTGCTATTGAAGAACAATTTATTGATAGTAAAAATATGTTTTGAAAAATGATTAAAAATAGTTAAACAATTACTTTATTTTCAAAAACTAAACAACATATAATAAAAAAGTATAATTATTGGACCTCAACTTGAAAAAAATATTCTGTGATCCGTGTGTAGCGTATGTGGATCAGGCGCAGATTTCTAAAGAAACCACCCCCAGTGGCACAGTGGTATGTCTGCGGACTTACAACGCTAGAAACCGGGTTTCGATACCCGTGGTGGGCAGAGCACAGATAGCCCATTGTGTAGCTTTGTGCTTAACTTCAAATAAACAATAAACAAAACCAAATTTGTATCATACAAAAGAACTAATAATTTTCATTCTAAACAAAACGCGTGTTATTAAAATCAATGATTTTTATTAACTTAATCAAACATACCTATATTTCGTTCTCCCATTGGAGCAAGATTCAAATCGATTTATGGCTTTAATTACTTTTAGACTATTTTCGTGTACAAGATGACCTGAAGAAGGACTCAGTAAGTGAGAGCCAGTAACTATCTAAAATCTGTCTCGAGGTACCGCTTGTCAATGAAAATCTTCTAGAAATATATTTACTGCCTGAAATTTCACTGAAATATAAAGAAAAGTGCAAATAATGTATAAAGTTTTTACTAAGTGAGATCTCCCAAATTGTCTAAATCTTCACATTTCAAACGATTGCCTGTTCAAAGTATTTCTGAAGGGTCGTTTCAATCGATATTAAGACTCTCAATTTTGTTTACAAGAGCTCCCACGGAAAATTCGAATCAAGGTAGAACTGTTAAACCTTTAATATTGGTTTATAGGAACTCCAAGGACATTCCAATCGAAAAACAAACAAACAAACAATAAAACAAAACTGTTAACCCCTTTCAATTTTGTTCAGGAGCTTCGTAGATCATTAGAATTGAAGTAAAACTATTCAATCTTTAAATTTTGTTTACAGGAGCTCCGGCAGAAACTGGGCCACAAATTGCAACTTCCTGACTTACTTATTAAACCAGTCCAGCGAATAATGAAATACCAACTTCTGCTTAAGGTAGGGTTTTCAACGTTTACCAATTTAACAACGAAATGTGTCCGATCAGTCACAACTCAGTATAAAACTCAAGCATCATATAGCCCGCGTTAATAAATCCCGAGATAGTTTTTAGAATGTTATTCTTCGTCATTCAGAGGGTAAAAATGATTTGATTTTAACATTGTTTTAAATATTACTCTTAAATAAAATCAGCTTTCCAGACTTGTCAATAAATATGTCAATAGGATTGGTGGATCTAGTTGAAATCGAATATTTAGATTAAATATATTTGGTTCTCTAGGATATTTTGAAGTTCACTGAGAAAGCGGGGTTAGAAGAAGAAGCTGAAGTCCTTAGGAAAGCTGTTCAAATCATGCATGTTGTACCAAAAGCTGCCAACGATATGATGAAAATAGGACGACTACAAGGTTTCGAAGTAAGTAACGACGTTTAGAGAAGTTATTTTGTTTGATCAAACAAGCAAGTAAAATTATTGTCAGAATATTTGTTACAGTGATAATAATTGTTTTCATACATGTTTCAACACTAGCTTTGCCTGTTACATTGATAATAATTGTTTTCATACATGTTTCAACACTAGCTTTGCTTGTTACATTGATAATAATTGTTTTCATACACGTTTCAACACTGGTTTTGCTTTTTACATTGATAATAATTGTTTTCATACACGTTTCAACACTGGTTTTGCTTTTTACATTGAAAATAATTGTTTTCATACACGTTTCAACACTGGTTTTGTGCATAACAGAACTATTTGTTTAAGGCAAAGAATACATGTTAATATTCAAATTATTGACTTGTTTTCATATTGTTTACCACCGATAAGATTATCATATTGTCTCACATTCAGTAATATTATTTTTGTTTGTTACAAATGTCAGTGTTAAAACATGACAAAAAAGGGTGAAATAACATCTTTTTTTAAATTTAAAACGCATAAATAGACCGGAGCAGTCATTAGCGGGATTGATGGTATATTTGTTGAAATTTGTTTGTGTGGTTCCGATATTATTAGGGTCCCTGTAACCAACAACATCACTTGTACCACGAGTAGTTTGGTACATATAGTTTTAAAAAAAGTACTTAAAAACCTTCATAGTTAATTCAAGGGTTAATATTATATGAAAAAGCAACAAAAACAGAGTATCCCCCGTTTTAAAAAAGTACTTAAAAACCTACATAGTTAATTCAAGGGTAAATATTATACAAAAAAGCAACAAAAAAAAACAGAGTATCCCCGTCTACAACTTTTCAAGAATCACCAAAACTGGTAGGTGTTCCTGGACTGAACCTCAAACCTTGGTACATTTAAAGTTTTTGTTTTTCTGCTACAAGTGTGTTGTTTTCACTCTTATTTTACAAGACTGATCAGACAGCAGTATCGTGATACAGTATATTCATAATTATGTTTCCCATGTTTTCTTGAGATTTTTTTGTAGTTATTCACAATCGTATACACCTTTGGAAATAACGTACAAAGTTTAAATGTATGTAATATTCAGTAGCATTGCCTTTTTTACACTTTTAGGGAAAACTTACAGCTCAAGGAAAACTGTTGCGTCAAGGAACGCTGCTGGTTGGCGATTCTTCTTCCAATGGAAAACTGAAAGATAGACAAGTGTTTCTCTTTGAACAAATTATCATCTTCAGCGAGTCGGAAGGAAAAAATACACAGTTCTCTCATCCAGTGTACTTTTATAAAAACCACTTGTTGGTAAGACTTCTTTCTTGGGATCATTAGGCTCGTCCTGCTACTGTAAGAGCTTAACTATAAAATATGCTTAATTCTCAGTTGGTTTCATCACCAAGTGAAAGCATGACGAATGAACAGACTTAGTCAATGACTACGTGAAGAACTTTGCTCCTTACTCAACAGAAATCAGTCTCTCGTTGTAACACGGGTTTACAGTTAGTTCTAGTTGTAACCATAAGCTGAACCATTTATGAATCCTCTGGATTTGAAAAGTTCGCTCTTATTGGATTTCACTATAGTTTTGAAGTTCTTTGTGACATTTTTAGGATCACACTGTTATCGTACTGAAGACATTTTGATAAGACAGGATTTACACATTTTAAACTAAAAACGGTACAGTATATCCTAAAACGAGAATAGATTAAAGCTGGTGTGGAAGTTAATATTTCTTTCTGACACTTCACATGCGAAGTCGATTGAATGATTTTTACATGCTTCTAATATGAAATGAAGAACGTAATATGTAGCACGAAGTGAGACGTGTAAAAAGTCAATTTTTTATAAAGAATATTGTTTTTATCTTATTTTTAACAACTTGTTAAATTTCTACACAGCTATTTTATTTGCAACATATTCTGCACTAGAAAATTCAGGGATAAAAGAAACCACAAGGGTTAAGGAAAATTGAAATTTTATCTTAGAATATATTAGTTGTCAAACGGTTATTTACTTTATATATTGAAGCCTTAAAGTATAAAATTGTTATGCGTTAATCACGGTTAATATAAAACTTGTGAAGGTTTACGACAAAGAAAAAGATGAAAATATACAACAATGAGTTACGAGGAAACAGATGGAGAAGAGAATTATTTCAATGAAAACTAGTTTTGGGTTAGTACAATTGTTAAACGAGTTGAAGAGGCTCCACATTTGACAACAATTAATTATTTTTCATACCAATTTCAACTGTTATTTCTTAAAGAATTAAACATTTAGCCGTTTAAGAAGCTTTAAATAGCAGGGCTATTGTCCATATGCACGGTCGTCAGTTAGGGCACGACCGTACGTAGCGACATGGACTGCAACGACGTGGCGGAGCTCCCAAATCATTATAATATAACGTTCTCAACCTCAGTTTGAAGTATTAGATGATGTTTTGTACATTTAGAATTCTATCGTGTATCAGTGTTTAAAGTCATTAATCATCATTAGTATGTATATTGTTTCATCAGGCGAATAAGATGGCTCTGAGGGAAAAAACAGAGAATGGAGATCCATTGTCTTTTATATTGGAATCAAAGGATTTTAATCAGCAAGAACTGCATTTCACCATTCAAAGCCATAACGAAGCAGAAAGAGATGAGTGGGTAACGAGCATTCGTTCTATTCTAGATACCCAACTCAACTTCATGAGAGGTAAGAGACATTTTCTTGAACAAACTTGATGTTTTCTTGTGTTGTTAATCTCAAACCAAATGTTGACTTTTTTTTTCAAGATGTGCGTTTTTAATTTAGGCTTAAAACTAGTTAGCTTATACTAGGTAACAAAACCTAAGTCATAACAAGCTCGAGACTGCCGTTATTGCCAGCGATAACATCCGAGTTAAGTACAGCAACTTGATAGAAAAGCCTGTCTTCGAATAAATCTTTGTACAAAACACATAGTCCTCTGCCCTCCAGTGGCACAGAAACCGGATTTCGATACCCCTGGTGGGCAGAGCACAGATAGCTCATTGTGTAGCTTTGGGCTTAATTACAAACAACAACAACATAGCCTCTGACACCCCCACTGGCTAAGCCGTAAGTTTGAGGGCTTACAACACTACAAATCGGGTTTTGATACCCGCGGTCAACACAACACAGATAGCCCATTGCGTAACTTTGTGCTTCTTAACAAACTTAGTGTGAAATTTTGTCAATATGTAGAGAGAAAAAAAAAACCAGCAATACTTTAAATTTTTTCATTAGTGTTTGATAGTAATAGATGTTTAGGGTCAGTTTGATCCCTCACTTTATAAAGTAAGTTATGTTTACCATAATATAACGCTGGGCACCATAACCGCGTATGCAAGTCAGAAGCTTTTTGTGTATCAGTCAAAAACGTTTATTCGTAAACGAGCAAAAGAGTTTCATAGTGGTTAACGTTTCGTAAGGTTCTGCCCTGCGATAAGCTACTGATCATGCTTCGCACTTGAGCGCATTATAATGTGACAGCCAATTCTGCTTCTTGTGTAGGCGGTGGGTGATGCTAATAGATTGCCTCCTTTCTCTTGATTGGCATATGATTGAGCCTTGAGGTCTTTGACCTGACCGTTTAGCCCATGTGTCGCATAAGGTACCGTTCATGTTGAAAATTTGTTAATACAAAGATATTCTTAGCTGCAGACCTTGTTTGATAAACAATGTCAACAGATTGTGGTGAATTTGAAAGGTGTTAGACTTTGTTTTTCTAATTGCAGAAATTTCCAAGTAGTCAAAATCATAGACAACTCGATCCATGTCTTAATACATAAGCCGTATGTTTCAACCTACAGTCATTTGGTGTTTTGTTATATTAGTTATGTAATGAATTCAAGAAATTTAAAATTGATAATTAACTATAAAATCATAAACTTCATTTTATATTTGCTTCAAATAACAATCCCCTTTACTGTCTTCTCTAGCTTTGCAGTCGCCTATCGCGTACCAAAAGGGTTTAAATAAAGATGGGTAAGTTAAGTTTTAATTATTTTCATTTCAAAGTCTTTAACTACAATTGCCATTCATCATAGATTAAAGAAACTAGCTATGCTGCAAGTTAAGGTATTTCATTAATAAATAAATGTTTTTAACTGCTAGAGTTAACAGTTTTAATGTATCATACTGTATGGTATATGTGTGTGGATTAAAAGTTCTTTGTAATGATATATTTCGTACAGATGATATGTTCTGACTAATCCCCAAATGGCACAACATTGGATCCTACGTTACATACCAGATGTTGAAGTCGCGTTTTCCTGCTATACTTTGCCCGCCTTACATATGTTTGTATATATATATATATATACGGGCTACTTCGCTGGATTCCATACGGGAATCAAGATTTCCGAGGGGACGTCCGAAGAGTGCTTTGTCGACCAAACTATCCTGTTTCTATAACTCGCATAACAACTCGTACAACTGTTTTCCTGTTGACGTAGTCCTATCGGAATATATCGCGTGTTGAGCATCAGATATCAAAAGTTGATATTTCTTTACACTAACTGGAATACTACAGTAATAGGCTTAAACACCTGCCCGAGCCGAGTAATAGGATCCTACATGGAGTTTCTGAAATGTTCTGTTATGTAACCAATAACTACAAAAACATCAAGTGTTTAAATTAATTTTATAATAACGATAAATAAAATTAACATGTGATTGAGTTTTCATACAAAGGGGACAATTCGAAGCAAGTTCAATTTATAATCCCTCTACAGGCAAAGCAATGAAACCATCAAGAGATCGATCTTCACTACAGCGGTAATAACTAGGCCAGTAATTAATTTTGAGTTGAGAAAATGCTACCGAAAGAGGGTGTTTAAAATCGAGAATTCTACAACGTTGTTGTTATAGTCTACTGTTACATCTGACGTCACAGTCTCGAAGTTCACTTTACTAGTTCATCATCTAACTCTAACTGATACCTTTTAGCCATGTTGAAATAAAAAAGAATATTAAAGATTAGTAATTTCTATGTCTAGTAGCAGTTAAAATATCTGACCAATTGCTAATTATGTAAATTTTTAAGGTCTACATCGGACTCGGAACATTGGCTGAACAACACCTTGAGAAAATCACTTTCTAATCCTGCTTCTTCCAGCGCCACCTCAAGATTAGAAATTCCGGACGTTGAAAATTCACAAATTACTCACTCTTTTCGTGAAACAAAACGTGAAAGGAACGTTTGTGCAAATCACGTGCACTCTCAGAATTTTGTACACCGAAGTCAGTGTGAGCGAACAGAATCCGGCTGTAGTTTTGATGTTTCCGACTGCAGCTTAGAGACTTCTGAAATCCTAGAAGATAACAGTCGGGATTCCAGTTCCTCGGGTTTCGAGAGGGATAGTGGCGATTTCAGTGTGATCCAAAAAGGTCTAATTACTGATCCTCGACAACTAGATTTAGCGGACCCTGACGTTTCTCAAGGAACTTTCAAAACGTCGCTATAACTTAGATATTGAATTGCTTATAGTGCCAATGTGTTGATTAAATCTAAATGGGTCTTCCTTCTATTTAAGTATATAGTTGTTAATACTTTAGCCAAAAGGTAATAACATTGCGTACACAGACAGAATTTAGTGTCGTCTTCTTGCTTTTTATCTTCTGATTAGGCTATTTGCACTTCAACCTCTGATTGACTCGTTCTAAATATTGGTGATTGTTCTCATCACGTCTGTTATTCGGTAACTAATTTTAAAACACCCTCATCAGTATCGTTTTTCGAGCGATTTATTGATAAGAAACACGTTTTTTTTTATCCCAAAGAATTTACGATTTAGTTGTTTTTCTTGCCAAATCGTACAAGTTTTAACGTTAACAAATATTTTGGGGGGATCTTATATAAGATAGGGTAAAAATTGTAGTTCAGGTGCCCCTAGAAACAGTGAGTGGTTTGTACGTATAGTACTAAACATAATCAAACATTTATTTCAATGATTTTTTTTAAGATTACTGGACTGGTCAGTAAAAAAAAAAGATGATTCATGTCAAACAAAAACCATTAGCAATTCTAACAATAAGTGTAGTAACTCAACTGAAAGCTAAAATGGATCTATATTGTTCTTCGTAGACCTGAATGAAACATTGATTATAAAACAGGTTTTAGCTCTAAAATAATAAGTTTAACGTCTGGTTAAATACGTTGCCAAAGAATATTTGAAGTCAAAATAATGATATCGTAATTTTTTTAGCGTTTTACTCGATAGTTGTGTTGGAAGACTATATCATCAATCTTTGAAATGGAAGAAATTAATATATTTTAGTAAATAACTTGTATAACAGATCCGAACAGTGGTTTTGTCATAACACTGCAAATTTTAGCTTGTGTACAAAGGTACTACAGAATAGTGCAAATATGTGGTAAAACTGTTTTTTTTCTTTTTTTATTGAATCTGTAAGTTGTACATACACATCTGATTTGTCATTCCATTATTAGTTAAACTTTCTTTTACTTAAACCACAATTGTTTGTAAAAAAAAAGATCATTGTTATAAACGTTATTTTACTACCTATGTGTGTACAATACGAAACGTATCTTTCAAACTCAAAGTACAGTACCGTTACAAACACACTTTCTACGTACGTTCACATAATAACAGACGAAGTAACTACAAACACATGTAGCATAATCGCCAAACTGCTCGTACACATTATACTGATTAGATCAAGTTCATAACACGATATAGTTTATAATACATTATATTGATTGGATCTAGTTCATAACACGATATAGTTTATAATACATTATATTGATTAGATCTAGTTCATAACAGGATATAGTTTATAACACAGTATACTCATTAGATCTAGTTCATAACACGATATAGTTTATAACACAGTATACTCATTAGATCTAGTTCATAACACCATATAGTTTATAACACAGTATACTCATTAGATCTAGTTCATAACACGATATAGTTTATAACACCTTATACTGATTAAATGTAGTTTATAACACAGTATATTGATTAAATGTAGTTCATAACACGATATAGTTTATAACACAGTATATTGATTAAATGTAGTTCATAACACGATATAGTTTATAACACAGTATATTGATTAAATGTAGTTCATAACACGATATAGTTTATAACACAGTATACTCATTAGATCTAGTTCATAACACCATATAGTTTATAACACAGTATACTCATTATATCTAGTTCATAACACCATATAGTTTATAACACAGTATACTCATTAGATCTAGTTCATAACACCATATAGTTTATAACACAGTATACTCATTAGATCTAGTTCATAACACCATATAGTTTATAACACAGTATACTGATTAGATCTAGTTCATAACACGATATAGTTTATAACACACTATACTGATTAGATCTGTTTCATAACACGATATAGTTTATAACACAGTATACTGATTAGATCTAGTTTATAACACGATCTAGTTTATAACACAGTATACTGATTAGATCTAGTACATAGTATATAGTATCACTTACTACAAAATGTCCACTATCGCGGACCACTTCTGTTCCTTCCAAGAAAAAACTTCACTTTAATGAAAATAATTTTTGATCGGATATACGAGTGCTGGCTGTGTTGGTTTTGGTATAGTCCGGATATACGAGTGCTGGCTGTGTTGGTTTTAGTATAGTCCGGATATACGAGTGCTGGCTGTGTTGGTTTTGGTATAGTCCGGATATACGAGTGCTGGCTGTGTTGGTTTTGGTATAGTCCGGATATACGAGTGCTGGCTGTGTTGGTTTTGGTATAGTCCGGATATACGAGTGCTGGCTGTATTGGTTTTGGTATAGTCTGGATATACGAGTGCTGGCTGTGTTGGTTTTAGTATAGGCCGGATATACGAGTGCTGGCTGTGTTGGTTTTAGTATAGTCCGGATATACGAGTGCTGGCTGTGTTGGTTTTGGTACAGTCCGGATATACGAGTGCTGGCTGTATTGGTTTTGGTATAGTCCGGGTATACGAGTGCTGGCTGTGTTGGTTTTAGTATAGGCCGGATATACGAGTGCTGGCTGTGTTGGTTTTAGTATAGGCCGGATATACGAGTGCTGGCTGTGTTGGTTTTGGTATACTCGCGTTATTCATTGCTGTAAATCATTTTTGCAGTTGCCCCCCCCCCCATAATCTTCTCACGAATCTCAATACAGATTTCGCCCCCCCCTCCCCCCCAGCTTGAGAACCACTGGTCTAACTGAACAGGGTATGACTTCACTTTCTTATACCCAACCACACAAATACATTACTCTAAATATACGATGCTCATGTAAACTGATATAGAGACTGTACGCTATTGAATATTTGTGATTTGGAATAATTATAAACTTCGGTTATTATTTTTTCGAAATTTCATAGTGTTTATGGACAGACCATATTTTACCAAAAACTACATGTTTATACGGCGTATGCCTCTCAATTTTTGAAACTTTAATAATGTCAGTTCTAAAGTCTTTCACTATTTTGTCTAGCTAAAATGAGAGAATATTTTCACTAAACTTTCGGCAGAGAGTTTTAGTTAGACAAAAATTGGGAATTTTTCCTTGCAATGTATCAAGTACATTGAAACTTGTTTAAAAGTTACTCTGTTTTACAACCACGAAACTGGGTGTTCCCACTTTTGCTCATAGTACGTATTGAAACCTTTATATATATATATATATATATTTTAAAATTATCGTTCAGTAAAATAATTGTAATCTTAATCAAACCGCCAGTAAAGTCTACAATAATCTTAGTATGTACCTAAGTGAGTTTATTTGTAGCTGAAAGTTCCTAAATCCTTATTTTCGAGTTGCTGTAAATCCACCTTGCATCGTTATTTCATAAAACAACCACAAAAACATCTAAGCTGATCAATTGAATAGGTGACTGCTATACGTATAAAAATTTGGATTGCTTCGTCAAAAACAATCTTGTATTTAGAAAGGTTGGAAAATAAGATAATGTTTACTGTGTAACTCTTCAATTTCAATGAGGCCCGGCATGGCCAGGTGGTTAGGGTGCAATCTGAGGGTCGCGGGTTCGAATCCCCGTCCCACCAAACATGCTCGCCCCTTTCAGCCGTGGGAGCGTTATAATGTGACGATCAATCCCACTATTTGTTGGTAAAAGATTAGCCCAAGAGTTGGCGGTGAGTGG